TATTTGGATTGTATGAAATTGACCTTCCTGTAGTTATCATAGCACATTCTCATATTTTTCAATAACCTCAGAGCAATGTTTCTGAGCAACCACAGATAGCCAAACAAGTTGAGGCCAGCACCTTGATAGCAGAAGCAAGAGGTAAATTTAGCCATCATACATCTTTTATAGTATTAATCGATATATTTTCATTACAATTTTGTGATTTTCATGTTTTTTCATCCACATATCTCCTGTAAAGAGATGGGAAAGAATCACCCATGTCAGATGTTAGTTTTTCTTCTAGATGACACATGCAGACATTAGCCATTAACGGACCAAGGGGAGACCCCATCGCAACACCGTCTATTTGCTCATAAAGCTGACCATTGAACTGGAAAAGCTGTCTTGAAGTTGACATCTGTAGAAGCTTTTTCAAATCATGCCTTTGAATATTAAGGTTGTAGGTTGTATTGAACCAGTCATCCGTAAATGCTTTGTCAACAATGATATCAATTGTTTCCTCAAGTGGGACATTCGTAAACAATGCTGACACATCGTACGATACCAAAACATCATCATCATTAACAGAGAGGGATCGTAATTCTTCTGCACACGTAAATGCATCGTTGACAGTATATTGATTTGTAGATAATGGTTTAAGTTTCTCTTCAAGCCATTTAGCCAAAGGATAGTTATATGTATTGGTTGCAGACAAGATAGGACGCATACACAGAGTAGKCTTATGAGTCTTGGGAAGGCCATAGAGATGTGCTAGTCTTGAGCCTTTAGGACGAAGTTTAGATGCAATAGAATCTGGTAGCACCTTATTAACAAGTTCGGTGAGATCTTTATCTTCAATAACAACAAAGTATCAATAGCAGCTAATGATAAAGATCCTGACAAGACAGTAAGAATACCTATTCCTTKTAAGGATCAAAAATCAGCTAATGCAGTTAGAAAGCAGCTTAAAGATCTCAGCAGCAAGATCGAAGTCACGATTCAGCCCATATTTACCAGCAGAAAGATCCAGGATGTATTAAGGCCTAGTGAAATTAAACCTAAACTTATCAATCAAAGCTGCGTTGTTTATAAATTCAAATGTGATCTGTGTGATGCAGATTATGTTGGCATGACAACCCGACACCTTTTTCAACGCATAATTGAACATAAGTAYAATTCTACAGTAGGAAAACACTTAAAAGAACATCATGGAATCCTCACGGGACCAAACCACGAACAATTCAATGTGTTGAAGAAATGCAAAAACAAGTTCAACTGCCTGATATTTGAAATGTTGTACATTAGAAAGCTTAAACCACCACTAAACGTACAAAGTGACTCTATAAACGCCAAACTTTTTACTTAATTTTATCTTTATATTCCGTATTATTGTTTACTTGTATTTTCTTACTTTATATTGTTACACATTCTTTTTATTATATTTCATTGTACATATTTTCCTTTATATTTTTAATTGTAAATTAGCTCCTATTGTTTTATTCCTATATATGAGCATCTTGTAATTTCCATTCCCCTTTTACTTGAAAATGACGTTATGTTAACGTCGAAACGTCGTTCATTAAAATGTTTTTTCTAAAAAACAGTTTTTTATCGCTCAATTTTATCATCAAGTTATATAGTAAGCCACTAAGTTTATAATAATCAACCTGTAGAATTTAAACAACTTTCATTGTATTGCATCTGATAAACAATTATATTTACATGTCATGACAAATGTTTCAGTCTGTGAGAATGAAGCATCCTTCAACATTCTGAACACAGAGACAGAGGGAGATGACGAACAACAACTTTTAGATAAAGCATCTCAATTACGTCACATAGCCAAAAATTTGGTAATTAAAGCAATAACAAATACTGCATTTAAAATCTTTTTTGAAAAGATAAATTTCAAACAGCTTATATCTATTCTTAGAATAATGAGCAAGAGCAACATTCAAAGAAATTGAAGGATGGGAGCGGGCCATGTGCCAAAAAACTCGACAAAATACTGAAAGGGATTGGAGCTGAACGACAACAGTATCATGGGGGGAGTTTCAATGGTAATCATGTGCATAAATGTCTTAAGGTTTGTCACAAATTTTKAGAATAATTATTACATGTATGATGCCATAAAAAAGTATTATAGTAGTCGTTTAGGTAAATTTGTCTACATTTTTCTTACCCAGTATTCCTTTTTAGGAAAAAAACATCAAGATACTAGCCGAAGTGGCAACTGAAGTATCAAAAGAGATTGGTAAAGAAATAGAAGAAGCAGAGATAGTAAATGACCAGTTTAGTCAAGTAATGACATCATATAGTAACATCCACAAAGCAATCAACAAAGCTGTCAAACTTTAGCAAAACTAGGTAATCAATACTTCAAATTCAAATGCTTTTAATGATAATGAACTTTAAAACTAGTCTAAAACAAGTTTTGAAAATGTAACTAAGTAGTTGTCACCATTGTCAACTATTTTTGTTCATTATAGAATTAGACATTAAAGAGTTCCTGGCTCTTTATCGGCATTTTTCCCCAACTCAAGCATATTCCCAAAACTTMACTTTTTGGAAGACCATATTGTTCCATGGGTTTCAAAATACAAGACTGGAACAGGCTTGCTTGGAGAACAGGGCATTGAATCAATTCACCACGAATTCAATGAGCTCAAACGGTCATAATCCTGCACTAGAAATAAGATCAGCCAGGTAAAGTGTGTGATGGAGGAGCACCACAGGAGATGCCACCCTGAGAATTGTAGTAAAGTTCCACCCAAAAAAAAAAGAGGAAGAAGCACAAAGAAGAATGAGTGCATATCACATAATATAATAAGACATAATAGTAATTGTATTGTTTTATTATAACTTAAAAAGATAAATATATCACTTTAAGACATAATAGTAATTGTGCTTCTGGAGCGGGCTATGTGCCAAACTTAACATCTTAAATTATATCTTAAATCTTAAATCTTTGTCTCCTTGCACTCTTCTCTCTTCTTCTCTTCTTCTAATCTTCTCTCCAGTTCTTGCCGTCTTTCAATCTCCCTCATGTATTCTTTTAACTTCTCTTCCTCAGTTCTAATATATAGATATGAGAAGGGACAGCACAAAAGGAGGCTAGAGAATTAAGACTCTTTTGATGCAGCGAGTGAATTAATTGCGTCTTTTGCAAGACTGTATTTTCCAGCTAGACACAAGACCCCTTTGGTGATGTCCCCTCTCATATATATGTAACAAAGTTTTCTATCAATACAAATAAACATATGTGTACATGTTCATAAAATTATGAATACTGAAATTTTACAATTCAATATTACAATCTCTTACAATTCCTTATTATCATATTTAATACTTTTCCGTCTTTTCCTAAAACAGCAAGAAATTAAATGATTAGATCATTATTTTTTGTTTCAGAAATGGAGAAAAAAACACAAAGCTCTCGCACTCGTCCATCTTTCCTATTGACTCAAACGTCAGGACAAATTTGCGAGTTTGTAAGATATCATTGATAGCTGAAGGCGGGAAAAATTGAYGCGCGTACGCACCGAGCAAATTAAATGGCGGGAAAAAATAGAACGAAAAATCGTGATGTGTTAATTTGTAATAACTCTCTAAAAAAAAGGTTGATTAAATAAGCATTGTACATACAGAATTAGAAGTAAATATATTATAAAATAAACACTCACCTGACACCAGGAAAACTTGCGATTTTCACCAAAACTTTATTATTTTAGGCCGTATTGGAGCTAGTTTTCAAAGACGCCATTTTCTTCCACGCGTGGATTCTTGACACATTCAAATAATTCACAGCTTTATCTTTCAGAAATTCCACTAAAACCATTCTATGGAACCCTTTGATTTACATTTCAATGATTTTAAAAAGCACAAAACAATCGAGTCATTTGAAACGATCTTAAAAGAGTAATTTCATGAACACCAAAACCATGCTCTTTTCGATGTCAACCATTTTCTAGAACCTCGTTCTCATGTTAGTTGAACGAGCATGCGCAAGCAGACGGGGAGCTTGGAACCTAATGTCCGGTTTTTTCTTACAACGAAACAGCCGTGACATCCAACATGTCAAATACTTATCTGAGCCAGATAAGAAGAATGTGCTGCTTAAAATCTCTCGCTAATCACAAATTTATGGACTTCATGGATGACGGACTTCAACAAACTAAACGCAGAAAGTTAATGAAGATAAAAAAAACTACGAAATACAACGATTTACTTCACAAAAACGCATTAGTCCTTTTACTACTATCAAATGATGTTAACTTAAATCCTGGACCAGTTTTCCCATTCAATTTCTCCGATTCCTTCTTCGAGGACTTAACCATCTCACAGAATTTGCATAATGAAATCATATCAACTGAAGCGGATAATCAACTTCACATCGCTTTAAATGAGAGTGACTACTTTGATTTTCCTAATAAAGGTCTCCGCCTCGTCACTTGGAACATCCGAAGTCTATCGAACAAATTCGACGAAGTGAAATTTATTGTAACCAAGAAATCTAGTCAAATTGATTTTCTTACACTACTTGTAGAAAGCCACCTCGATCACACAACTCACAACAATGCTATCCAAATTGAAGGCTATTCCATCGAAAGAAAAGACAGAATAAACCAAAAGGGTGGAGGTACACTAACATATACTAACGACCGACTTTTATGCAACCGAACATACCTGCAACGGAACAGACCTTGAGAATGCAAATCTTGAAATTATGTGGCTAGAAATTAGAACCTGTCTTCGAAGTCCCACCATTGTTAGGTCAAGTCTATCGACCACCATCCACTGACGTTTCTACTGATAATCTACTTCTAGAAAACATCAATCGTGCTCATAATGAAAACAAACCTACCTGGATAATGGGCGACATCAATATTGACTTAAATAACAAACAGAACTTTAAACACAGATTTTACGACCACCTTATTACCTTACTAGGTTTTAAGCAACTGATTTCAACAGCCACTCGTATACCATCCGGCACTTGTATTGACCACATTTATACCAATGAACCAAGAACTACAAAGAAGGCTTCCAAGAAAACCACAAATTCATGACCGAACTGTGGGCAGGGCACTCGACGGTATGCTCGTTTCTCTGAAACTAACTMGACGATTGCCAGCCTACAGAAACCGACCCGATGTGCTTAACAGTCGCTTTGAGTGTGCAAACTGGTTCCTCAACACAGGTGTGATAGGTCATTGCATATTTGTAGATGAATGCGGATACAATATTTGGACCGCACGAAGCTACGGAAGAGCAACCCAGGGAGAGCGGGCCTACAGACAGGTTTGTGGACAACGAGGGCGGAATGTCACCTGTATTCTGACCGTATCACCAAGGAATGGATTAGTCCATCATTCAGCAGAAATAGGAGGAATGAATGCTCAGAGGTTTGCCAACTTCTTAAATGATACTTACCAACGACTCCCAGCGAATGGTAATTACGTTTATTTCATCTACGACAATGCACCAGCCCATCGAAACGCAAACAACCCAGGTCCTAACAGCCAGCTCAAACCAATACCTCCATACAGCCCATTCCTCAACATTGTTGAAGAGGCTATTAGCTGTTTCAAAGCAGCTATAAAAGCTCATTTCTCTCAGYCAGCACAACAGCGCATGATGAATAAYAGAGACGAAGCTAGAAGACAAGGCCTTCCACTTGGCGARWGGAGAAAACAACTCTTACTCAGAGCTGCCACAAGAAACATTAATGCCATAACACCTCAAAAAGCAGTCCAGTGGTACAACCATATGCAAACTTATTTACCAAGATGCTTAAATAGAGAGCATATTCAAGGATGAAGATAATTTTTGTATGTAAAATATCACACTTATTAAACACACTTTTTAAATCCTAGAAATAAAAACTATGACGAAATTAAATGTCCGTATTTTGGTATTGTATGTTTGTTGTAGTTTATTGAATGCACATAATGGGCTAATGAAGGTTTGAAAACGTTAATGAATCTGCGCCCAGTTATGCATGATTCTCCATGTCTATGCTAAATATGTTAATGATTCTCCCTTCACGCTCTTGAAACTCCCTAAGCGTTAATGAACGTTCGTTCGCGCTAAAGACAATGCAGTTTTGCTTGATTGAAAGTTCCTTCGCGGTTAATGAACAGCAAAAGGTGTATTACGTCATTCCTTATCCTGCGTAGCCAGGCGTTCCTAGCCGCTCTGAGAGAGTTTGGGCYGGAGAAACCCCAGAAAAAAAACAGAAAAAAAAAATTCTGGGTTTCTCCGGCCTAAACTCTCTCAATGCGGCTAGGAACGTCTGGCTACGCAGGCYAGTCATTMATATTTAACAACTACAAGTTTCAACAACAACCAAAATAAACATTTCCAGTTTCTCTCTCTAATTATTTAATCCGAGTGTGGACATATATAAAGGAAAAGGGTGATTTTCGCACATTCAAGTTAACTACAAAAACTGTTGACATTGGACTGTCTGACCACCGACCCATAGGTGCCGTTAGAAAACTGAAGGGAATTATTCCGCGCTCACCAGGCCATAAAAACATTGAATACAGATCTCAAAAATTTCGATGCCGARAAATTTAAAGACGACTTGGCATTGTTGCCGTGGAACACAATGTCTGTATTTGAGGACCCAAATGACAAGTGTGAAAGATTTTCAGAGGCAAACACTCGAAAGAATCCATATCACCAGCCATCGGTATCCCACAAGGTTCAATACTATCACCACTGCTATTTAACATCTACCTAAACGACCTCTATATATCCACAGCCACGTGAACATGTATGCCGACGACATCACTATATACACAGCGCACAAAGAATCGAAGGAAATTGAATCAAGCTTCAATAATTACATGATACCCATATCAGCTTGGCTTGAACAAAATGGCCTATCTATCAGCAACGAAAAAACAGAAAAAATGTCCATTGCTAGAGAAATATCTATACCTATTGGCTCCTCCCAAATTACTGATGTCGAACGCCACAAGTTGCTTGGACTTGATTGGAAAGAACATATAAACTATATCATCAAAAAGTTAATAGCCGATTAGCACTTCTTAGACGTATTAAGTGCGGCCGTCCATAAATATCGACCTAAGGTGTGCAAGATCGAAAAAACAAATTCTTTCAAACTTTGTCTGAACATAGCTATAGATAAGCTTATTCTAGAAATATAACTCTTAGTTCGCTCGGATTTTTATTTTTGACGAAACACGAGAATTTCATTTTTTGGGCTGACAGGCCAGTTTCCTAAGGTCAAACCATAGATTCTTTTGAGCTCGATCACTACTCCTCCTAAAAACTAACCGAAAATGCATGTCGTAAAAGTAAACATAGTACTTTATCGTTTAGGAGCAGGTTGTTGTGAACATTTACAGCTCGGAAATCACAATATTTCTGCATCTATAAACAGGACTTAGTACCCAGCAATGCATTGCGTTTCAGACTATATTAACGTTTCTTATGTGACGTCACTTGTTTTTGGTCTTGGCCGAGTGAAGATCAATGGCGGGAAGCTTTGGCCCRTTTGCCAATGTTGTCGATTCTAGAGCTGAAACTCTCAAAAAGATTCTTCTTTTTTATACATTCATTGTATAGGCAAGGACAATTTTCAAGTATCGATAAAAGGAATTGTTTTTTAGACCTTATTTGTTGACAAGTGGACATCAGTTTTGTAGATAAACCGATAAGGAAATTGTCGGAGATGCGAGTTGCTCTGATTCCTGTTGCTTATGGACGRTAGGCAAAAGGTTGAAAAACTGTTTGATAAAATAAGAAGTCCTCCTTTAGTCCGTGTTTATATTTCGTCATTAGAGGTTAGTAAAAACTTGTTTTTTTTTAATGGACTGGGTACTAGCAAGAATGGTGAAAACACGTTCAGCTCCGCTGAAAGCGATGCTCAAAATCCAAATGATCATCAATTGATTATTCTAACAATTGTAAAAGAGCTATTAAGTGTACAAGAATCATCTATGCAAGCTTTTTTCTCATCGTATATGGAGGCATCTGAGAAAAGAATTGACTCAGTCATTCGAGAAGTTCAAGA